TACATGGTTAACTATAACTACGGAACAACCTTTTCAATATAAACAAACATCTGTCAGCATATTCTAAAAAGTATACAGGGTGTCTATTAAGTACTTGTACAAACGTTAAATAGTGAATCTTTGACTAATTTTAAGGCAAAAAGTTCATATTAACACGTGTCTTAAACCTCTTAACTTTTGTGCTACAGAGTGGTAAAGTTTTCAGAAAAAAATCTATTTTTTCCAATAACTGTGAGACTATTGTAGATATTTCTACGAAATTTGGTACACGTATACTATGCATAAGATGCATTTTTTGATGTACAAATTTATTTTTTCTACCAATGGCGTCCATACCTACAGGGTTTGTATTGAATATTTTTGCAGAAAAAAATAGTATGCCACTGCTTCATCTTAAAACAAAAATTATTTTTCAAATCCTCATTTATTTTTAAACAAATTTAATTTCATCAGTTTTTTCGTTCGATGCATAGTTTACGCTTTAAAAAATAATATCCGTTTTATTTCAGAGTCAAATAGCTAAAATGTACAATTGTACATACATGCATAGCAAGCCTTGCAAACAACCGAGGTTTCCATGGTAGCGGAATCAGTCATGACAGTTTATTTAAAAAAAAGATTATGGTTTTTGTCATTTAAAAATGTATGTAATAATTTATTGTCTATTATATTGTTCAAAATGTACGAATATACCAATGCAGAAATGGCAGACATTCATTTCGTCTACAGAATGGCTCACGGTAATGCACAAGCTGCAAAAAGAATGCACCAAGCCCGATTTCCTCAACGGGTGGTTCCACATGTCTAAACTTTCATTAATATTCACGCAAGACTTTGTGAAACTGGCAGTTTTAAAAGAACAATTGATATCCCAGGAAGGCCTGCGACAGTTCGAACAGTTGAAATTGAAGAAGCTGTGTTAAATAGAATTGAAGAAGACCCGCAAACTAGTACAAGGAAAATTGCTCATGAATTGAATATTACGCATACAATTGTGTGGCAAATTTTAAAATCTCAACAACTTTATCCTTATCATATTCAACGTGTACAGGTATTACTACCTAGAAATTTTCCTCTCAGAGTAGATTTCTGCGTTTGGCTGCAAAATAAATTATTAACAACCCCGGATTTCTTAGGCCATGTACTTGTTACAGGCAAAGCTTCTTTTTCTCGAAACGCCATCATGAACTTCCACAACAACCATATCTGGTCTGAGGATAATCCCAATGCTATCATAGAAAATAATTTCCAAGATCGTTTTTCTCTTAATATTTGGGTCGGAATTATCGGGATCACCTTATTGGACCTTGCATTCTTCCACAAAGGCTAAATGGCGAAGAGTACAGTATATTTTTGGAGCACGAGCTTCCTGAACATTTAGAAGAAATTGATTTGGCTACCAGAAACAGGATGTGGTTCATGCACGATGGCGCACCGGCACACTTTTGTTTGGCTGCACGTCAATTTCTGAAAGAGAATTATCCTAATCGTTGGATAGGAAGAGCGGGACCGCAAGCCTGGCCTCCCAGATCACCAGATTTAAATCCTCTGGATTTTTTCTGTGGGGTCACTTAAAGACACTAGTTTACAAAACATCCGTTCAAAATGAGCAAGATCTAAGAAACAGGATATTTGAATCGTGTGCCATTATTAATCAGACACCAGGTATATTCGAAAGAGTACGTCAATCAATGTTAAGGCGAATTGACGCATGCGTTGCAGTAGGCGGCGGGCATTTTCAGCAATTGTTGTAAATGTTAATAACTTATTTGCAAAAGTAGTTTAGTCTTAGTCTGTAAATAATCTAAGTTTATCACATAACAATATTGATCAATAAAAGACACATTTTTCACTTGTTCCATGCAGAATACTATGCGTCGGACGAAAACTATGCGTCGGAGAAAAAACTCATCAGAACAAATTTGCTCAAAACTAAATGAGGATTGCAAAAATATTTGTTATTTTAAGATGAAGCAGTGGCGTACTATTTTTTTCGGCAAGAATATGTAATACGAAACCCGTACGGCGCCACTGGTAGAAATAATAAAATTATTTGTACATTAAAAAATGCATCATAATGCGCAGGAGACGTGTACCAAATTTCGTAAAAATATCTGCAATATTCTTACAGTTATTAGAAAAAAAAAAATATTTTTCTGAAAACTTTACCACCCTGTAGCTCAAAAGTTAAGACGTTTAGGACATGTATTCATATGAACGTTTTGCCTTAAAATAAGTCAAAGATTCACCATTTAAAGTTTGCACAAGTACTTAATAAACACCCTGTATACTGAACAAGTGCTTTAATATGACATATTGTTTCTCATATTCTGAGAACGTTTAAAAACAGGTAAAAATATATAAATTTATAAAAATAACTACATGAATTTTTCCCATTATGTTGCATTTAGCTGATCTGATGATTAAATAATATACTTAATTTTTATTGTTTATGTTCTCTTCAGTTTTCGTATTTTTGCACTCCTTTCTAGCCTTTTTTGTTTTGAATTAAATCCCTTATTTCTTTGGGGTAATTGATACCTATGGTAATCCTTTATAAAAATTGTGTATTATTCCAAATCTTACATTGTCTTAATTGGGACATTTATTTAAATGTTTTCAGTTACTTCAAGTTGACATGTTTCCCAGTCTCTATGTTTGTTCGTCAGTGGGGGACTGAGCTCCATAGTGATATTAATATATTTATTCTTTGTAAGAAGTATTGTTCTATCTTTATAAAATTTGCTGAATTATTTCTGAAAATTAAAAAATTTATAAGGTCCGGTATTTTGTTAAAATATGTAGATCTCTTGGAGTTGTTGAAATTATTTAAAAGAAACCACCGTTGATGAAAATTATGTAGAATACTTTCAATATTTTACTTTATTTCGTACAGTGACAACTTTTATTAATCATTACATGACATTCTACATTTTTTTATGGTTATCTCTTTATAAATTATATAAACAGGTAGGACCCACAACAGGAATGACCTACTTACAAAAAAATCATATTAAATCTCATAACTCCTAAAGTTAATTTTATTCTGTAACATGCTAATCCACTGTACCCATTATTATGGACCTGGTGTCAATAAGCCGAAACGCAATTACTTAGTTTATGTCAGGGACGGCATGCACATAAATTTGTATGGCCACGTGTCGGTCCAACATAGGAGTTAAATTTGCAGATATCTGCAAAACGTCCGGTACAAATTATGACAATCAAATTACAATAATAATAATTATTATCTACATATTACCGTCGAATTCCGGTTGTCGTGAACGTGCTCGAGCATACGAGCATTTCAGTATGAGTTTTGATCAGAAACTATCGCTCTCCGTGCAGTTGGGAGTTAATATCCCACATTTCGGTTCCTCGGCTGTTAGTTATTATCAGAATATAAATCCACAGAAGTTATGAACACGAGAACCGGAAATACGCTCTATCAAAATGGAATTTGTCGTTCGAACAGCGATTGAAGCTGTATAATGTGGTGAAGGAATTTTGATAATAGTATTTATACACTACTATCTTATAAAGCATCTTTCTTTCAACTCTATATCATTTTTTTAATACGTATTGATTATTTGTATAGAAGTAGGGGCGAATGGTTAAGGGTAATCTGGACCGGCCTGTTTTAAATTTTAGAAAATGGTTTCAAAGCCACCGGCCCTCTCAAATCTCTCAAACTTCCGATAGGCTCATCTGATCTAAGACAGGAGTAAGTAGATCCAAAATATAATAAATAGAAAATAAATATTTTTTTTTGTATTGTATACAAAAAAGGTAAATATCCACTGCTTCGTTTTTAGATTCTCAGACAGCACGCCTAGTTTATTAAACGTATGTTATACGTATTTCTGTTTACATATAACGTTATTAAATTATAAAGTTTTTACTTTCCTGTCTGCATACAGATAAGGAAAGTACAGGATTCATGATTTTTTTTTTAATACCGAGTTTTCGACGACTTTTTTACGTTTAGGGGTCCCCTTAATCCGTTTTCAGTATTTTCGCGATGATGTCCGTTTGTGTGTCTCTATGTCTGTATACTCGAAAACTCATGAACGGATACAGATAAAAACACTTAATTTTAAAGTTAGACTTTAATCCATCATAGTGACTAGATTTTGGGCATGGTCAGAACATCTGGGAAGGTGCTTTTCATAGGTTCGTTTTTGCACTGTTTATATGAAGGTCCAGGCTAAGAAGGAGGAGGGTCACTTTTTCAATATTTTTGGATTTTTGTGCCAATTGGTAGATAATAAAAAACTCTATGACCAAAATGGACATAGTCATGAGATAATATAGGTTAAAGTTTTGATATACGGTACTGTGCATATTGTTTATAAACAGTAACATTTCTAGTGTGTGATAAACTTGAGTGACACTTGAGTGATACTGAGAATGACTGTCAGGACTTAATAGCCAAGGAAAAAAGAGAAAACGGTTTGGTAAAGTGACAGATGTCGCCAAGATAATGAACTTCCAAAGCCACGAGACTGGGAATAACTGTAAGTGCAAAAAACTTCGTTGCTTTCAGACTGTTTTTGGTGAAGCAAGAAAAAAACCATCTATGAGTTCAATTTATTAAAATCTGTAGATGAACAAAATATTTATTTGTGAGGATTAGTGCTTAGCCAGTACAAAACCGTCGACCACGTAAAGAAGAAGCGGTTGCTAAATTCCATGAAAGTTTATTTTCGTATCGCGTTAGAATTATAACACATGGAAATGTAGCTGAAGTACCTATTTGTTATAAGGCTTTCCTTTCTTTACACAGAAAATAGTAAAAGTGTTGCAAAAATCATTAAAAATGACTGAAAAAGTCCCTACTATGCGGGGAAAACATTTTAAGAGACCACAATTGTTAAAACCTGATGCTAAACAGTTAGTGCTTGAACATATTAGTTCTGTTAAAGGGCGTCAAAGTCATTACAGTTTTAAAGACAAAAACGTACCTGTCCGAAGAACTAAATATTAAAAAAATGCAAAATATGTACAAAGATATTAATAAAGATCAACAATATACTGTGTCGTACAAAACCTTAGACAAGGAGAAAATAGAAGGAGAAATAGCAAAACTGCAACTTGAGGATCAACTTTATAGAAAGCTGCAGTATTTTATGAGAGAAAAAAAGCTGCAAAATTATATAGACGAGGAAATAGCGATTGTGAAGCAATATGCATGGATTTTGCGAAAACTCTACAAGTGCCAAACATCACAACAAATGATGTTTATTATAAAAGGGCAATTATCCATTTATTCCTATATGTTCATGTTTTATCAACTGGCCAGAGCATTTTTTATACCTATCCCGAAACAAATGGGCGAAAGGAAAGTGACGTTATCTCGTTATCTCCATCACTTGGTTCACACTCAAGAAAGATTCGACTTTGTGCAGATTAGCTTTCCAATTAGAGGTCATTCTTTTATGGAAAGGATTTTGGATTGATGGAGCAAAAGACTCACATGTAGAACTTCCTAGTGAATGGACTGATGATTTTAAAGCCGCTAGAGTAAAACCCATGCCTTTTGATGTTGTGGATGTCACGCATGATTTATATAAATGCTGGAGTATCCATTTTTCTACATTATTCAAACGAAGTTGTCCACTGAAGACGCGCCTCATCCGTGAATTCAAGGTAGTAGGCTTGTTTACCATCGCTCAACGTGGAATGATACATGGGAAAGCGCAGTTTTGGTTGATGCAAAAAAAGGCAGAACAAATTAAATCGTCATGAGTTTGAATTATCAGACAAATTATACGAAGGTATCTGTAATGTGTGAAGGGTGGGTTACCCCACGGTACTTAGGCCTTATTAGGCCCATTGTGTATCCTCCTGAGAAGATAGGCACCTCCTAGCTCGTGAGCCAGCCTACAGATTTAATGTAGTTGACAACGTCGCCAAGAGGTGCTTTTCTTATATCGGCCGATGTTAGTCGATACTCGCCAAACAAAAATCTTCTAATAAATGAGAGCGTCGAGTAATCGTAAAGGATATGCTCGATGGTCTCATCTTCTTGTTTGCACCCTCTGCAGAGTGCGGATTCTGACAGCCCCATGATATGGAGATGCTTTCGTACTTGGCAATGACCAGTCAGAATGCCTGTGACTAGGCGCAGATTCTGTCTAGTCATAGTCAAGTATTTGTTTACTGCAGTGTCGTTAGGAGAACTTAAGAGATCCCTGGCAACTCTGCAGTTTCTTTTTTCATCCCATCTTTCCTTGAATTAATTAGGTCTGTCACTACCGATTTTGTTAGGCCAATAGAAGGACCAGGTCCAAAAAGTATTTGGTTGGCTGCTTTCTTGGCTAGTGAATCAGCTAGACGGTTACCTTACGATGTGGCCTGACCTTTGATCATCCATCTTAAGTTTACCACATTGTTGATGGATACTTCGGCCATTTGAATGAGATGTTAAGAAGCTTTTTTAGCGGTTTATTGGTTAAATACTATAATTCCATTTTTCTTAAATTTTAAATTATATGTTTTATTCTGAAATAAATGCCTTACACTTTTATAATTTTTGTGCTCATTTCAAATATTTAAAATGTTGATAAACTGGCTGTTGTTTTGACAATTAATTGATTAACCCAACTATTTTTTTTTTTCGTTTTTGCTTCCCTATTTACCTTTTAAAATTATGCGAGTGTTATTACTAACATCCTGTAAGTATATCGTTTTGTTTGTTTGATTGTACTTAACAAATAGTTATTGAACAGAAACTGTCCTTGCATAGGAAAATAGATCTAGCCATCTAGCCAATACTTTTCAATTAAAGGACTATTCAACGTTACATCCTTGTCACCAAAATGCAATTTATAGTTTCATAAAACCGTAAAATATGCAAATTTAACGTTCCCCGTTATTAGGGTGCAGTGTGCACTAATTCAGTATTTTTTTCTTTATTTTCAATAAAATAATTTCGAACTTTATTTACCATAATTATCCAATAAAACTACGTAACTTTATTATGGAGCTATTAAAAACGGGTCCTTTATTACTCTAGTAATAATAGAAAACGGTTTTATGATTTCATTAAATTCATAATAGTAATAGGTAATAACTGACGTATGCAACTTTAAGCCATATTATAATACGTGCTTCATAAATTCTTTATGGCGTTCGTGAACTGTCTTCATAAGTAGAAATATTTTATAGATTACGGAATTTACGATTATGTTAAAGTGGAATAACTTGTGCACATATGACATTACATACAAAATTTCTTGATACGATGTCTTAGTATGAAATATTATAATTTAAATTGAATTTATTTATTAATTTTTCGTTTTTATATCACCTTTCTTACTTTTTAGTTATTATAAGATCCCTAAATACTAAATATTAATTATTATTGTTAGCGCAAATGGATATCTTTATTTTCTTGAGAAAAAGCAAAATTAAAATAATAAATTTATAGACATTTATTTTTTTTCTCGAAAAATAATTATGTGCATTTAAGGGGCTCGTAAGAAGAAAATATTGGAAAAAGCTATTTGGTATAGAAGGGAAAAAGTTAACACCTTGAAAACAGGTTTTTATAGTGTTAATTTTTTCTCTTTTGTATCAAATAGCTTTTTCTAATATTTCAAAAAGGGGTGCTACCCCACTGAACTAACTTAGACCCCTCGTAAGAAAATTAGACTAGTCTTAAATTGTTTCTAATATTATTATTTACTTGTATACCGATTTTTAAAGCGATACTAGCGCTAGCTGCGGATAATTCGTGCATTTTAGGGTGATATTTTGTAATTTTGGCATATCAATTACACGTATACATTTTACTTTTTTTCAAAAAAGTAGGTACAGATAATACAATAAGCAACCGGAGTTGCTGTGTTGACAATTGTACAAATACTAGCAAAAAAAACAGTGAAACTTATATAAAAAATGTCAGTAGCAAAGTGGAAATTAAATCTAAGAAATAAATGGATAGATGTACAATAAGAAGAAAAATTACCTTTATTTTTGTAATAATAACAGTAATGCTGTAAATAGTAGACATCAGAAACTTGAAAGGTTTTAAATAAACAATAAATTATCATTTTACGATGTTCTTTAATGTCTTTTTATTCTTAAATGTTCATTCAACAAGGACTAAATTTCAAGATTTCTGCCTTTGATTAATATATGTGGATGGAATGTAATTTTGTGACTTACTGATGAGAAACCAGTTTTAATCATTCATTCTATGTTTTCTTTCGAACAAAAATGAAACTATAAATAGCGATCTTTTTTTTTATACATTTTAACTTCATGCTATTATTAAATGGTATTTTTTTATTTTGACAACAGGCTAATTCTTCAATGACAACTTTTTAGACTCAGGCAACTTCTCATACATTTTCCCGTAAATACTGTTGCCTGCCTATATTTTATTATTGATTTTCATTGATTATACATAATTTTCTTTAATTTAAGCGTTAAAAATATATAATAATAATAAATTAATGTTTTACTTGTTTTACAAATCCATATACTTTTATTAAAACTAACATATATGCTTTTTAATTACGAATTCTATTAAAAATTGTATTTGTCAGTATACACAGAAATAGTCCATTAATACCAAAACGAATTGGCGCTGCGGTCGCGCACGGAGCGAATAGCCGGAATTTAATTTTTTGACTTACTGATAGAAAACCAGTTTTCTTTCGAACTAAAAATGAAAAAATTTAAAATGCTTTCACAAATATACAAATTATTTTTCTTTTGTTAATACATTTTGATTCCACATTATTATTTAATGGTAGGTAATTTTTATTTAGACATTATTTAATCAGATTACTTACGTGTTCTCTTGGTAGTTGCAATACCCATTTTTTTAGTTTTATTTTAAATATATTATTTTTTAAATTTTTTAATTAATTTGGAATATGAGAATATGTATGTCTTGCTGTAAAATACAATGATCTTTGACCTATGGTCTTTTGTGCTTTTGCGGTTTGCGATATTTGATTTTGTTTATTGCGAGTGTCGTGATCATGATCTATTTTTTCTAACATATGTTTTTTTTATGTTGTAGGGTCAATATTTTAAACATGTATATTTGATTAATATCCATAAGATAACTTTTTTTATATAGAAGGTTAGTATCATATCGTTTAGGTTTTTTTAGAATAATTTTTATAAACATTTTTCGGATGGTTTCTAATTTTTTAATTTGATTTTTATATGCCCCTCCCCATCATGCTATTCCGTATTGTAGTAATGAGTGTACTAATGAGAAATAAATTGTTTTCAAATGATCAGTTTTTAAAATTGATCGAAGTCTTCTAAACATTTTTTTTTTGTAACATGAAAAGGGTATATAATTTGTTTTTTTAAATTAATTGTTACGGACATTAAGTCAAACCAATTTTTTATATTGAGTAGATCTTTTTTGGCTTTTTTTACAAGTTTCCAAGGTTTATCCGAATATTGTATAACGGTATCATCAACAAAAGACGATATCGTACCATTACTTCTTATCTCAAAAAGACCATTAATATATACAGAGAATAGAATGGACCCCAGTAATATTCCTTGTGGAACACCATATGTTACAATGATGGATCACTTAGATTATCTTCAATTTTGACATATTGAACTCTGTTATATAGGTAAGATTTTATTATATTTGCCATTACTCCTCTGAAACCAAGGTCCTCTAGTACATCGATCAATATTTTATGATCAACGGTATCGAAATCCTTCGCTACGTCTAAAAATACACATAAGGTTGGTGTACTTTCATCAAGTTTTTTATAAATGTTATTAGTTAAAAATGGTATAGCATCTTCTGACATACCTTGCTTAAAACCAAATTGTCGTTCAGATATATAATGATTTTTTTCCAGGAAGGACACTATTCTCAATTTTATAATTTTTTCCACAACTTTAGTAATATTTGTTATTAATGATACTGGTCTATAATTGTAAGTATTTTTTTGTCGCCCTTTTTGTGTAGAAGTTTAATTAAACCGGTTTTTAGAGGTCATGGAAATTGACCCTTTAGAAATATTTCATTTACTAAATGAGTAAGAGGTTTCTTTATAAATTCCTTAATAAGTAATAAGTGTTAACTGGTTATTCCATCTATTCCTGGTGCTTTTTTTAGTTTTAGATCTCTTATGGCATTTGCTATCTCCTCTTCACAAGCTGGCAGAAAAAAAGCAGATTGCCAACTATATTTTCGATTCCGTCATATTTGATTTTTAAATTTTTTCTGCCAAGGTTACATTAGGTTCCATTACAAAAATGCTCATTGAAATAGTTTACTACATCTTTTTTTTTCAGTTAGTTTAACATTATTTTTACCTATTTCAATTTATTATTTTGTTCAGGTTGTTTTCCAACGTGGATATTTACGGTTTTTCATAGAGTCTCTAATTCTATCAATAAAATAATCTTCGTTAGTTTTTTTATAAGTTTATTAAATTTGTTTTTATATCTGTTATATTCTAGT